GAAATGGGTGTCCTAGCAAATGTAGAAGAAACACTTTATAATGACATGGGGAAAAAGGCATCTGACAGCTGCTGTGATAAGGGGTGGCTCACTGATCTGTTTCTTGGACTCAAGTGCCTACTAGGTGAGTAGCATTGGGAGATGGGTGCTAAAGCTAAGTCAGCACACTGTAACCCATGTAAAGTACCAAGACTCCTAAAACAGAGCTCAGGACAACCTCATGGAATAAGGTGTTTGAAAAACATCAGAGCCAACTGATCTGGATCTGTATTGTTATAGAAATCCAGTTAATTTCTAACTAGGTATCATCCTGGTGACCTCAGCTGACCACTGAACTGTACACATTTCCTGAAAACTATTTTTTTTGGGGGGGAGGTAGGGGGGTAGGAGAGAAGATCTTGCTTAGCCAAGCAAGTCTCTTCCATCCTGAATGCCAAAGATGGCTTTGGGAACAGTGCACATAATAGGGTCCAGAAAGAACTTAAGGTAACACTGGTTTGGAATGCCAGTTTCCTGAACTTGGTGTAATTTTGAGTAGCAGAGGTGACTGCATGAAGCTGTGGATAGATTGTGGCATGGAGTTTACTGTAGATGACACTGGTGACTGGCTGCAGAGATGCACTGAAAAAAATGCAGATGACCATGACTGCAGGCAGCTAGAGGGAACAACACAAATAGCTCCAAGCTGAACAAAAAACTAGACTGACTGGCCTTTCTTATACTAGGCACCTGCTCATACCACAGATTCAAGGAGAAGTTCAAGCTGGTCTGGATATGCTCAAATTAAACAACTTGCAATCAGCATGTCTTCTCTGAGGTTTAAATTATTCCTCAACATTCCTTTCCCACTATTATAGATGAGAGCTTCCTCAGTGACTAACCAGCAATGACAGATTGCAAGTGCTAACCCTGGAGTAACAAATGTTTGGTCTCACACACTTTCTCCCCTCCCTCTCCTCCCCCCTTCCCCATAAGATGCTACACTGACAAAAAGGCGATCAGGGAAGTGGACAAGACCTAACGCTGTTCCAGGAGGGGCAGTTTGTAGTGTGTGTGTGTGTCTGTCTGTCTGTCTGTCTCTCTCACACACACATAGTAATATGCATAAATTGAAAAGGACTCGATCTGCACCCCTGAAATAGTCAATATTAATTCAGGAATAAGCGTGAATAGAACATATCTGTGAAACCCTCAGTCTATCCCTAAACATTTCAATATATGCTGCTGCTGGAGTTACAGAAAAATAATCTGAATGTGCTTTACTAAAAGGTATCAACCATATATTGGTGCAACTCTAGACAGGAAGCCTTTCTCAAAGTACCTGAGACTTTCAATACAGAGACATCAAATGTTAGTATGGTCTTGCTTACAGCCAAAGATCTAGGTTACTAAATTTAGTCTCCCATACACCCACTGCTTCATTTGTGGAGTGACACAAGAGGCATTAAAGTTGCTATGACTTCCCTGGGATAGTGGCAAATGACGGTCCACAATTAGCAAGCAATGTGTTTTGCTCAGTTTGTTAAAGAGTAGGAGTTCAAACACATAACCAGATGTCCTATGGCAGTCATTGAACTGGGAGTCTGGGTTTGCAGTCAAAATAGCTAAAGAACTAATAAAGGAAATGGAGACAGTAAAGATTTGAGAAGTTCCGGTCAGCTGGTGCCATATCCCAGTTGAAGGCACAAATAGCTGCACAAGATATTGGCTAATGCCCAGGTAAATACAAACTTTTTACCTCAAATGATCATGAAAGGAACAATAGAGGAAAAAGAAATCAGTGCAATTACAAAGCAAAGGCCTTGTGTGATTGATGATCCAAAGAACCACCAGAGTTACAAACAGGCCAGGGATAAGAATAAAGCCACTTCTAATGGAGAGAAGGTGGAGATGGGGCACTTGCATACAGTGTGGGCCTCCAAGATCATGCACTATGGAGGAGAATGACCTGGTGCGGTACTTGCATATGCAAATACCATGGCTGCACACAGAATCCATTCAGTAATTACACATACATTGTGACTATGGCACATACCCCTGGGCTTTTATTTCCTAGAAAATGCCCTTAAAAATCTTATGTTAATGCTCAAAACAATGTAACCAGGGAGATTGCATTAATATTTGATTTTCCACATGAGAAATGTCTTGTTTGTCATTTTTCCTGCTATGAAATATGGGTATGTTACAAGGTCCCAAACTAAGCTGCATGATATGGTGCCACCTTGTGGTCTTTGCAGTGTCAGCACTCCACTCATGTATACTTTGTTACTGTGTGGGGGGAGCCCCACTCCTGGAAATATATATAACATGTAGGTATTTTTTCCAGTAGCACTGGAGAATGTCTAATACTAGTTTATACTTAGTTTTTACTTTATTTTTATTGCCCTAGAAGCTAGACAAGACTCTCCCCTAAGTGTGCCTGTATTTCTTAGTTTGAAATTGATATTAACATAAGAATGGCCATATTGGGTCAGACCAATGGTCCATCTAGCCTAGTATCCTGTCTTCTGACAATGGTCGGTGCTAAATGCTTCAGAGGGAATAAACAGAACAAGGCAATTATCAAGTGATCAAGCCCCAGCATCTAGCAGTCAGAGGTTTAGGGACACCTAGAGCATGGGGTTGTGTCCCTGATCACCTTGACCAATAGCCATAAACTTACCCAATTCTTTTTTGAACCCAGTTATACTTTTTTGCAACATACACAATCAATTCATTCCCAGTACTTCCTTATTTTTTTTTAAACCTGCAAGCTATTTAATTTCATTGGGTGTCCCCTGGTTCTTGTGTTACATGAAGGGGGAAATAACACTCTTTCTCCATACCATTCATGATTTTCTAGATCTCTATCATATCCCCACATAGTCATCTCTTTTCTATACTGAACAGTCTCAGTCTTTTTAATCTCGCCTCAGATGGACAGTGTTCCATCCCTCTAATCAGTCTTGTTGTCCTTTTCTGTACCTTTTCCAATTTTAATATCTTTTTTGAGATGGGTGACCAGAACTGCATGCGATATTCAAGGTGTGGGAGTACCATGGATTTATATAGTGGCATTGTGATATTTTCTTGTCTTATCTTCTATCCCTTTCCTAATGGTTCCTAACATTCTGTTGGGTTTTTTTTTTACTGCTGCTGCAAATTGAGTGGTTTTCAGAGAACCATATGCAATGACTCCAAGATCTCTTTAACAGCTAATTTAAATCCCATTATTTTGTATGTATAGTTGGGATTGTTTTCCAATGTGCATTACTTTGCACTTATCAGCATTGACTTTCATCTTGTATTTTGTTACCCAGTCAAACAATTTAGTGAGATCCCTTTGTTACCCAGTCAAACAGTTTAGTGAGATCCCTTTAGAAGAGATCCTCTTTGCAATCAGCTTTGGACTTAACTATCCTGAGTAATTTTGTATCATCTGCAAACTTTGCCACCTCACTGTTTAACCCTTTTCCAAGATAATTTACGAATACATTGAACTGCACTTGTGCTGGTACCGACCCTTGAGGGATCCCACTCTTTATTGCTTTCCACAGTGAAAACTGACCAATTATTCCTACCTTTGTTTCCTATCTTTTAACCAGTTATTGATCCATGAGAGGATCTTCCCTTTTATCCCATGATTGTTTATTTTGCTTAATTGCCTTTGATATAGGATCTTGTCGAAAGCTTTCTGAAAGTCCAAGTGCTCTATCTACTGGATCACCCTTGTCCACATTTGTGTTGATACCCTCAAAGAATTCTAATAGATTGGTGAACATGGCATCCTTGTTAATGTATTAGTATAATGGGTTATTATAGGAGTTAGAGACTGAGAAGCTTAAAGCTCGTCTCTCACCAGAAGTTGGTCCAATAAATATTATTTTACATACCTTTTCTTTCTACACCTAGAAATGTAATCGACCTAGCCCACACTGTAGACACAGCTAGGTAAGTGGAAGAATTCTTCCTTTGACTTAACTACCGCCTCTTGAAGAGGTGGATTAACTACACTGACAGAAAAACCCCTTCTGTTGATGTAAAAAGCATTCACACTAGGGGGCTATAAAATAGGCTAAAATTCCCAGTAATAATGCTTCTTAACCTCCGCCACCCCTCCCCACCCGAAGAAAACACCATAAGTTTCTTCTCCAATAATAAGGATTACTTGTGTGCAAAGGCTATTAGATTTGGTCATAAATAGCCACCAGAAGTAACATTGGTTCATTATATTCAAAAATGTGTGTAATTTGAAACTTGGGGCAGAGGCGAAGAGTGTAGAGGTATTGCAGTGTTCAGAGGAAAGAGCATCCATGCTGTGTGGCAGTAGAATGCTCTGCGTGCTGGGTGATGACACAACTAACAACTACTCTGGAAAGAGAGGTGAGAGCCGGAGACCTTGATTTTGTGTATAAGGCACTCAGATGCTGTGGAATGCAAAGCTTTTATACTGCTACCCATCACCAGTCTTTGTCTATTCTGAACAACTTGGAAGTAGCTGCCAGTAGAACAAAATGTACACCTTCCTATTTCTAACCTAGATCAACTCTAAAGGGCACAGTGCCCTCAGAGTATTTCCACACCTGCCTCTATTCTGCATATGTAAATGTGTGGCTTTAATCTTTCTGCAATTTACAACACTAACAGCACTTGTTCCCAGGGCAGCTCTAATATAGTAGGCCATTGTTGCCCTCTTCTTACACTGAATCAATTCTTCTTGCTGGAAGATTTCATGTAACCAGTCCCTGTGGGCCTGATTCTAACTTACACTGGCATAAATTCAGGAATAATTTCATGGAAATTCATGGGCTTTCTAGGTTTCAGAGTAGCAGCCGTGTTAGTCTGTATCTGCAAAAAGAACAGGAGTACTTGTGACACCTTAGAGACTAACAAATTTATTAGAGCATAAGCTTTCATGGACTACAGCCCACTTCTTCGGATGCATCCGAAGAAGTGGGCTGTAGTCCACGAAAGCTTATGCTCTAATAAATTTGTTAGTCTCTAAGGTGCCACAAGTACTCCTGTTCTTTCTCCTGATCTGTGATGCACTGCAGCCTAACGAGGAACAACACAGAGCTTATATGGCTGGGGCTGCATTGTGCTCCCCAAAACAAGCTCTGTGCTGATTTCCTTCCCTCCCTGTGGGAGGGTGAACTTGAACGCCCTCAGCAGGTTGGCGAAGAAGATGAAGAGCTCACTCCTTGCCAGCTGCTCCCCCAAACACACACGGGACCCTGAAGAAGAGAAGGGGAAGGACAGTAAGTACCCAAGGATTTCTGTCTCCACAGGCCGCCTTCCAACTTGCAGATACTTTTCAGAAGCAAGATTGTTCATTCTCGTCAGAAAGAAACCTCATTCCCGGATATCACTGCACCTGCCCCCACTCATCAGCAAGAACTTGGCACCTCTCATGGGTGTTTATGTGGCTATAATCACAAGCAAAGACACTGTGAAAAGGTGGCTGTCTACTGATCTCGACAGATTTATCCGTGCAATGCTGATCATTATGGGAACGAGCGGGGGGGGCTCTGCTGCTTGAGTTGGGAGAGATTACCATACTCAAGGGGGCGCTGATGTCCAGTACGAAGCTGGAAAGTTCAACAGCAACAAGCTACTGTTATGTATATACACACACACAAAGGGTGCTACCCTTCAATTATGAAGATTAGCAGCTCGTCTTATTCTGCTATATATTTCCAGGCACTTTCAGAACTGTTTGATTTTAACCCAAACCTTCTGTTACACAAAGGCATATTCACAATGTGAAGCTCTTCCAGTGGAAGAAATACTCCCTCTGTACACGTAGGCATGATTTATATCTCCACAGGCTACCTTCTAACTTACATGCACTTTTCAGATGCAACATTGTTCATTCTCACCGGAAAGCAAAGGTATTTTTGCTGAACTTGTAATTTTCTCTTGGGACTAATTGACTGAACAATACAACATGGTGTGTGTGTGTGTGTGTGTGTGTGTGTAAAGTTTTTTTAAACTACTACTACTTACTAACTACTAAGTACCACTAATAAACACTATAATAAACTAACTACTAAAAGAGCTGAGAGGACAAACTTGAGGTAAAACTCAACATAGACAATTGCAAAGGCTCCATCTCCGGCCAAGGTTTTTGAGAAGGAATGGAGGGCGGTTCACCCGAGCAATGCTGCATAACGATGGCAGGGAGCACAAGACTGAGTAATACCCATGCATGTGCCAAACGGACACTGCTATGAAATTTCTCCAATCAATGGCGCACGGGGCACAGCGCACCTAGAGCGGAGCACCCATAGGGATATTACTCAAAGAAGAAGTGTTTATCCGTCAGTGCATTTACCTGTTGAGAATGGTAAAAAAGCTTCTCTGTTCACAAAATTTCCTTCCTTATCCAAGAAACGACTTGGACTGAACTGTCGAGGAGACTCCCATTTCTCAGGATCAAAGAGGACAGAGTCTAAATTTGGCAGAATGAGGGTGCCCTGCAAGGAAGAAGCAGTTGGTTCAGTTCTCTGAGGGCTGGTCTACGCGGTGAGTTTGTGGGGTGTCATTTCTTGGCTGCACCAACCTGTCATGTGCTAACTGGCCTGTGTAGACCCGCTGGCACACACTAAAAGTTCCCTCATTTACATGAACATAGTACGGTTTGAAACTGGAAGACATTAATGTGAACGAGGGAACTTCTAGTGCATGCCAGCAGGGTCCACATGAGCCACTTACTGCACGACACACTCATGTGGAGTAGAATTTATTCTCCACTGGTGTAGACAAGCCTTGAGTCTCTCTCCATCAGATAAGTCAATAAGGAGAGGGATCTGGACAAATTTCAGTTCAAATTTATTGCAATGTGCAGAAGGTCACATGCAGAATTTGTCTGTCACATAATTTGGATTTAAATGGCCTATTTTCAAAATCAAAAACATTCATGTGGTTTTTCAAAGTGTTTCAGTTATTCATCAAAACCAAAAATTTTGAAATTTCAGGTGTTTGTTTTCTTATCCTGTCTCTCTCTTCCCCCCGCCCCTTTTCTCCTTTCTGCCACTGAATGCAATAGAAGGGATAATGTCTAGTTTTCTTCAATTTTTCCCTTTGCCACCCTGTAACTTTTCAAAGCTTCTCCACATTTTAAAAAGTTATACGGGACCAGAATTGTAGCGTTTCATTTTTCCTTTTGACAGTCTAAAACTTTTGCAAAGTAGAAAATTCAAAATTGTTAGAAAAGTATTTTGAATTTTTTTTCAAAACAAACAAACAAAAACAGTGGTTCCATTTAGAACCCTGCAAAATGGGACCAAAGTTGAAATTTCAAATATTGTAGTGAAATGGTTTTTCCATGTTTTGACCAGCTCTAGTCACACAGTGACAAGCCTGTCTAGACAGGAGTAATTCAGAAGATACTGGACATTAAACTGTTTATTTCAGACTGTCATTTTCTAGCTTGCTACCAGCAGCGGCCATGTTGCAGAAAAGCAATAATATTTATGTCACCAGTGACATGGAGCCCACTTTTACTTCTAATATCCAAGCTTTAAAGACACTGACAACAGTTGGGCTGTTTCAGCATTTGCTGGAGAAGCAAATTTGCTAGAGGGCCAATTCAGAAAAGCACTTAAGTCCATCCTTCCTCTGGAGATCATTTAACTATGAGCTTCCCTAAAAGAGAGTCTTAAAGTCCATGACTTAAAAAGAGCTTAAGCATGTGTCCTTAATATGGATGCTTACCTGAATCAGGCCTCAGTAAGAAACTTTTAAAAAAACCATGAGAGAGACAGTAATATATTTGGAATCATGAGTTGACATGGCTTCCTAATGCACTACACCCCGTCAGTGGGAGAAGGGGGTTATAAACGTGCAGAGAGATGGCACCTCTTTCACAGATATTACACAGAAGACGAGCGTATCGAAGTGAACAATGTCTCTGTACCTTTGGAATGGGAAAGCCCTGCAGCGTTGTATCCTTCCCACTTTCTCTGGGGATCGCGATTAAAACAATGCTACAGTAACGCTGGATCTCATGAATCACGGCATTGGCGTAGGGCAGTTTCTTTCGATCCTCATAGCAGATTAACTGGGAGGGACCCAGCACAGTGTCCAGCTCCTTCTGGACTTTCTCTGAGGAAAAGTATTCAGCTTTAGAGATGGAAGAAGAGCATATATTCTGCACACTGTGTATTTATTATGGGCACTTTCATTTCTCTTTTGGCTGTTATAATGATAAGAATACAATAAAGTAAATAATTAAAAGAATTGTAATTATTTGAAAACATAAAAGTAAATAAAGAATAAGAATATTTTCAAATTCCAGGACAAATGACTAAATTATAATTTGACTTTTCACATACTTCTGGGTTGCATCTTCAGATAATTCATTTAAACAAACACTAGGAGGCAGTAAAGTCTTACCATCTGCCCATTCCCCATGAGATAGCTGATTTGGGGATCTTTTATAAAATTAGTCTTGCAAGTTGTTGTATTTATAGTTAGGCTCTGAGAGTGAACCATAAATAAAACATTAACTGTTTATTAAGAAATTAATTCAGTGACACCATCAAGGAATCTATTTGGCCCTCATAGGAGACAGAATGACAGCACATTTAGACCACAAGAAAAACACTGCATCATCACAAAACTCTGAGGGTAGGAATATACTCCGAGAGCAAAATAACATTACCTAGCAACTACTGAGCGCTAATGAACCCTTCGCTGGTTGTCACATACCCCACAAGATTTTATTCAGCTTACAAATGTTAAAGGTTTAGAAAAGCAGTTAAGTAATAATTGATCTAAGATTAATTTCTGAAGTTCAATTAAAACTGGAAGTGTGTGCATACCCCTCCGTTCCAGCATTCCAGAACCAAGGATACAAAAACCTTCCCCTCACTCAACTCAATTCCTCTCTGAATCCTGGCACACACTTTAAATCTCCAATGCTGAGAGGAAGAGGGAAGGTCAATGTGAATCTGGGGAGGCATTGCATTCAGAAAGCAAAAGTTACTCCAGTGTATAGCCTCTTTTGCAACCTTAATTGTAACAGGTACCACTAATGCCAACACCTGGCCTGTTAACCCCATATCTAACCAATCACAATTCTATACTATGCAACTATACCCCACCTCCTTGGTCTTCCAGTCTTCCTTTTACCTTCTCTTTGTCCAGTGGAGGGCAACGAAAATGATGAGGGGGCTGGAGCACATGACTTATGAGGAGAGGCTGAGGGAACTGGGCTTATTTAGCCTGCAGAAAAGAAGAGTGAGGCGGGATTTGATAGCAGCCTTCAACTACCTGAAGTGGAGTTCCAAAGAGGATGGAGCTCGGCTGTTCTCAGTGGTGGCAGAAGACAGAACAAGGAGCAATGGTCTCAAATTGCAGTGGGGGAGGTCTAGGTTGGATATAGGAAACACTATTTCACTAGGAGGGTGGTGAAGCACTGGAATGGGTTACCTAGGGAGGTGGTGGAATCTCCATCCTTAGAGGTTTTTAAGGCCTGGATTGACAAATCCCTGGCTGGGATGCTTTAGTTGGGGTTGTTCCTGCTTTGAGCAGGGGGTTGGACTAGATGACCTGCTGAAGTCTCTTCCAACCCTAATCTTCTATGATTCCAACTTCTCTTGTATAATCATCTCACATGTTGCCATTAATATTATTATGAAAGAGAATACTGCTATGGGTACCCGCATGGCCCCACAGTATGCCAACATTTTTACGGATGACTTAGAACAACGCTTCCTCAGCTCTCATCCTCTAGACCCCCTCCTCTACTTGCGCTACATTGATGACATCTTCATCATATGGACCCATGGGAAGGAGGCCCTTGAAGAATTCCACATGGATTTCAACAATTTCCACCCCACCATCATAATTCATAATTCAAAATGATCTGGACAAATTGCAGAAATGGTCTGAGGTAAACAGGATGAAGTTTAACAAAGACAAACGCAAAGTGCTCCACTTAGGAAGAAAAAATCAGC